GAGAGAGAGAGTGTGCGTTTACTGGGGTTATAGAAACGAACGAAATCAACTCTGATGAAACTGTTGAACATCGTTCCTTATATAAGAGTTAATAGAATCAGATATTCAGTTGGGTGATTGAAGCTTTCTGATTGGTCAATAAATATAAGAAAATCGATTCTTTTAAAACTATAGCAATTTATCCGGGTGTTGTCAGCTGAAAGCGTTCAAGTTCGTATAAAAAGCTTTTTACTTCAAAAGAAGCTTTTCTTATTGACTATAAAATAATTCTTTATTCACTTTAAATTTCGATTCGCTCCAAGTTACTTACAAGCTGATAAAAATGTATCAGAGGTTAAGGGTGTATTCTAACTATAAAAAGCCTTTTGAAGAAATAATTGTTTTAAAATCAGAAATTAAATCAACATTTCAATGATTGCAAATTTGGTCAGTGATCCTCATAATTTGCAAAAAAAAATAAATAAAAAAAAATAAAAGTAAATGTTACCCAAAACATGTAATATTTCTTTCTAGTTTAAAAGAAAATGTTTCAAGGACTGGATAAATAATTCCTGTTGTTAATCATTCAATCTTATTCTAAGTAACCGTATATGCGCGCCTAGCGTACATTTTTTTTTTTTTTTTTTTTTGACACAGAAAATGAAATTAGCTATGTCGAGTTCAAATTTCAGTGGAAGCGCTTGCTTTCATACAACCTTCACTTTCATACAGATACCTTGGTAAAGGATGAATTCTTCTCCTCTCACAGCTAGGGGTTTATAGCAGGACAGACTATACAAGATTTATAAAGATTTATTTGTTATTTTATAAAGAAATAAACGTGAAAAAAAATTATTCCAAAATTTAAAATATTAAAAAATTGTCAAAATATGTAAGCCATCTTCAATGCGATATTTGCCGTTTTATAAATAATTATTCATAGTTATTTAAAAAATATTTTCGGACACGCTGATTAAAGATTGCTGAATTTTCCTTCTCAAGTTTTTCTAGAACATTCGAATTTTACTGCTCTGAGACAGACTTAGCGTCGCCAAAAATAGCCTCCAAATTCAAGGCATATTGAGAAAAGGTCGTTGGAACACCCCATTGGTTATTAAGGTGTTCGCTTATAGGGAGTAGCAGTAAGGGGAATAGAATTGTCTTTTTCTTTTTCTTTTTTTCACGTAAATTTTTATGACTTAAAAATCCCAATCGATGTAATTTCGTCTAAGTAATTAATGCGTCTATAAATTTTAAAGACATGTTAAAAAAATCGGGGATGAAAGCAAAATAATTACAGTGTGAAGACAGGGATAAGAATAGAGAGAAAGAAAAAGAAACAACAGTTCGTAGTTACTGAGCTACAGGGTAATTGATACTGTAAAATTAGACTCACTAATACAAGAAACGATTTTATAGTCCCTCCTCCCCACCAAAAATGTAATACATTCTGTAGAATCATTGATATTGTCTGAGTTCAGCTTTTACGGGGAGGGCTAACTGGAAGGTTATAAATTTTATGAAAGGATGAAAAAAAGGAAATAAATCTTTCTTGAAGAGAGGGATTACTAGGATGGCACATTCTAAAAATAAAGAGTCGACTAAAAAATATGCGCATGCGTAATAAAGAAAATAATTAAAAAAAAATTAAGCAAAGGAGAAAACGGTTTGTTACGCGCCCAGAAATGACGTTAAATAAACACAAAACTTTGAAGGTTTTTATTTGATATGCAATTTGAGAGTGTATATTGCTTCTTTTGGGACGCAATATAAATAGATGTTTTAAAAAGTATTATAGAGTTACCCTTATCGTTGAACGTGAAAGGGGAGGAAAGCAAACAGTAGAATCACTTTTATGTATGTATTCCTTTATTTTATTTATTTATTTTTATATATTTTATTTGTTTATATAATTTTATTTATATATTTTTATTTATTTATTTTATATATTTGAATAATTTATTTAATTTTATATATTTTTATTTTATTTATACATTTTTTGTATATTTTGTTTAATATATTTTATTTATTATTATTTCTAAATGTTTATTTATTTATATAATTTTTTTGTTTATATATTTTATTTATTTAATCTTGTTCATATTTTTTATTTTATTTACTTATTTTATGTATATATCGTGATTTACTTTTTTTTATATATTTATTTTTAAGGTAATAATGTTACTAAGACGCAAGTGTCTACTGGGAGTGAAAGAGAATGAGAAGTATTTAGAAGACGGAAGCAGAAACCCAATTCTAAAGAGAAAACAAGAGATAAACCTCTACTCCTGTTCAAAAGACAAGGAAGGAGTATGAACAGGAGTTGAGTTTATCCCTATTTTACTTATTTTATATTTATTTATTTTTATTTTTCTCATCTTTATTTGTTTATTTTTATTTATTTTATTTGTTTACTTTATCTTTATTATTTTTATTATGTCTTTATTTCAAAACCTTAGTCTGTACCAGATATATATAAAAAATCAAGAAAAAGGGTAATATGATCACGACGCACATCCGTGCAAACTGACGCACGCGAGCGCGCGGATTAGCGTACACACAAACACAGAGAATACAGAAAAAATTTACACCAGCGCTAAATGTGTATAATAAAAATTGAACAAGTATAAGCAGTAAATTGCTGATACCCACTGAAGAGAGGAAGGACAGGTCCGTCCATGAAACTCTGAAATCAGGATGCTGAAAGTAACATCAGTCAGCTAAGTGATATATTTTACTGACATTAATCCTATTTATTTTATTTAAATATTTTATTTATTCATATCTATTGCTATATTTATATTTGTTTTTATTTATATATATTTATTTATATATTTTCTAACCCAGGCAATGATTTTCTTTTACGCTTTGTCCTAGAATCCTTTCCACTATATATCAGAATGTCCTATCCTCACTTCCAATGTTGTCTAATTTCAAAAGTGCATCGGAAAATTGTAGTTTGCACGTCTCCAGGTGAGCGATGGTAATTCCCTGCTGTCTGAGGCATCCCAAAAGAGAAATGTCGACAGAACTGGACAATGTTTGTTACTAATCGCATATACGCATGGGTTCTCTCACTTTAAATCTAGCCATATTACCTTTATTTACATTAAGATGAGAATAATTTTATATTTCCTTGAGAATGCCATGCGACGAAGTTGAAGTTACAAGAGCACACAAGGAAAAAAGAGAGCTTGGAGAATTTGACACTCACGAGACTTATTGAAGGTAAGAGGGACAGAGGTAAGCAGCGAATAAACTGCCTAATGAGCTTGTGTAAATGGTTGGCAGAGCAGCGATTAGGAGAGATAGCCAAAAGACAAAACTTACCTAGAACTACAAAGGACAGAAAGTTATGGAGAACCATGATCGGCCATTTTCTGAAAGGAAACAGCACATAGAAGAATAAGAATGCTTTATTGGGGTATGAAGGTGACTCAATGATAGGGTTGGTAAATATGAAGTTATAATAAAGGAAATTTAAAAAAAAACAAAAACAAACCGTAATGTGATTACTGTAAATACAATGGAGAAGCATGTGAGCACTTCTATAACATCAATAATTATTGCTCATAATTTGTAAGCACTTCCGGTCTCACTAGGGAATGCTGGGAGCAAATGGATTAAGCTGGCAATTTGAATAAAATAGTTGTTGAGTTTAGCACGTCTGGTATCGTCTTTGTGCTGAATCAGCTTTTCAGCAGCCAGTCTCATAATTTATCTATCCCACTTCTGACACCATGTTCCTCTGGGCTCAGGGTGGAAGGATAAATTATATGAGACTGGCTGTTGAAAAGTTGATGCAACACAAAGACGACACGAGACGTGCTAAAATATTTTATTCAAACTGCCAGCTCAGTCCGTTTGCTCCCAGCATTCCCTAGTGGGGCCGGAAGTGCTTACAAGTCATGAACAACGAAAAAGTCTGACCCCCCCCAGAAACAAATAATACCTTTATTCTCAGATTCATAAAGAGACCGTTGAAATTTTGGGGACAAATAACTTGGCGAATTTGACACTCACAGGGCATACCTGGAGATCTTGTGTGAATGAATGGCGGAAGAGGGATAGTTGGGAGGTTTGACAAAAGACAAACGTTACTAACAGCTAAAAGGAAAAGGAAATTGTGGAGATCCATTATCACCCACGCCCCCCTGAAGGGACACGGAACAAAGAAGAAGCTTTTATGGGGGAGGGGAGATGACTATATGGCAGGGTTGTCAACTATATGAAGTTTTTAATAAAGGAAATGAAAAAAAATTATAAATTTTAATCAATTTCTGTAAATATACAACATAATTGGAAATAACAGTTTTGTACCTTCCAAATTTAACAAAGACAGAAAGCGATAAATAAAGGACTGTCCTTTCCAATAAAGTATAGTTGGTAAACCTACCCAACGGTTAAGAGCAGGGAACATGGGACCAATAAGAAGTTTTGAAATTCCGAATGAGGAAAGGTCTGTGTTCCAAGCGTTGTTCAGATAATTTCACTCGTTCTTCATGTAAGGAAATCAGGATGCCAACGAATTTGGAACGCCAACCGCTGCCGACGAATGAATAATAAAAGACTTGAATCTTTTACTATTAACATTGCATTTTATTACACTCCGATGCTTCTTCAAGCACTTCGTGAGCGGCCCCGCGCCCGAAACGTAGACCTTACCTTCTCGTCTGCGATATATCAGAGACTGCCTATCTCCTCACTGGTGCAGGTGTTTATATGTCACGTGATTCAACAATCAGGAACCGTAAGTAATCTCAGATCAACTCAGTACGTAGTTTCTCTTGATGGACTGATATGATACCGAGTGCAAATTTCATTCTAATAATGCTACATTTATTTTGATGAATACGTACCACGGCCGCCATTAGGTGCACAATAAAGAAGAAAGATGGCGACAGAAAACGGTTGGTAATATAGGTTGCTGAATCGATTCGTTTTACTACTTAGTTCGTATTTGGAGATTTTATCTTTTCACAAATTCAGTATTGCTCGTATAGTACATTCAACTTCCTCCCTTACGACCATATCACGCTGAAACGCCGATTTCCATACGATCACCGAAGTTAAGCAACGTCGAGCCTGGTCAGTATATAGATGGGTAACTGCTTAGGAATACCATCTGTTGTAAGCTTGGGTGTGTGGATGGTATAATGGACAATGGCTCAGAATTATTAATCGGGGAGCCGAGTTCCAATTCCAGTTGGTTTCGTTATATTCACTTGGGAAAGGTATGAATCCACCTCTTCTCCCCCAGCTATAGGTTAATTAGTATGACTTATATCACTAAAACCATTATTATCTGTAAAAGAAATAAGATAAAGTAAAATAAAATTGCGTACAAAATATTTAGATTTCGGCATTAAATAACCCATAGAGATGTTGGTATGCCGCTAAACAAAAACAGCCATCCAATCTCTTCTTACCCTGATACTGTAAATCTTGGGAGCGTCTCGACACATCATCAAGCAGCTGCGACCTGAACCCATGATCTAGTGACCTCGATTTAACCTGCGACAACCTGATGAACTCTATTCAACCTCCACAGTAGAGTGAACACGGATTTATTGTTGCCACCATAGAATTCCAAGTCGTTCCTAGAAGATACTTCACGCATGTCAGTTTTTTTTTTTTTTTTTTTTATGTATTCGGTGAATTTGACCCAGTCGTTGAAGAAAAGCGTTTACCATTTCACGCGGTTTCCCCTTAGCTTACAGAAGTAGCAAACCAATAATAGGTAATATAGATGAACGTAAGAAAAGATTTACTCGCAAAAAACATAGAAATAAAATTGCAAATAAGTTTGTAACCTTTGTTTGGGCTTACGGCCATATCACGTTTGAATATTGGTTCTCGTTCGATCAATGAAGTTAAGCGGCGTAAAACTGAGTCAGTATCTTGATGGGTAAACCGCTTAGGAATACCAGTTGCTGTAAATGTGGGTGTGCGAATATTCTTGGGCCACCGTGAATCGTTAAGAGACACGATCGCCCAAGCGGGTCATATCCTCCCCTACAAACACGCATTCGGTCAGCGCATAGGGGGTAATAGCTCATCCATCCCCATAAGTCTGAGAAAGGCCTACGTCCAACAAAAATGGCATTCACATGCTCATGAAAAGAAAAAAAACAAAACAAGAAAACAAACAAAAAACAAAAGATTTATTTCATTAATAAAATCTTTCTGTTTTATTTTTATTTTACAAGATTAGCTGCACATTTTATTTTTACATCTGGTTTTCGTTGATTTAAACTGAAAATGTTTTTTTGACGAAAATAGTGTGCATATAAATCTGTATAGTTCTCTTCGTCCAAAAATTTTTACAGCGTGAGAAGACAGCAGTTAAGCAACGTTTAGCCTGGTCAGTACCTAGATGGGCAACACCAGCTGCTGTAAGATTGGAAGTGCGAATACCATTGGGCGATCATTGATCGAAAAGAGACATGATCGCCCAAGCTTGTCACATCCGCTCTTACCAAACACGCATTGAGACAAACGCGTAAGGGTAATGGCACATTCCTCGCCATGAATCCGAGGAAAGCCGAAGTACGACAGCGGACCTTCCCATCGTGGAAAGAAAGAAGTTAAGCAATGTTGAGCTTGGTCAGTACATAAATGGACAAGCTGCTGTAAACTTGGAAGTGTGAATACCATTAGGTGATCATAAATCGAAAAGAGACAATGCACACGAATCGAAAAGAGACATGGCACATTCATCCCCATGAATCTGGGGAACGAATAGGCTCAACAAAAAGGACCTTCCAAGACTGAGAAGGAATTTCATTCTCATTTTAAGGCATTGTTTAACATCAATGTGTCAACAGTGTATATTTTCTTTAATGATTACTCCACCCCTGTTGGGAAAAAATCAAGTTTTAATTCTATTCTTTTCCATTCGAGCTCAGTACTCAGTTGTAATAGTCAATCTGGCTAGCGTCATTAGCCATTACCCAACGCCGAGGCGCCCCCATTCTAATGATTACATTTATAGTGACACAGCAAATACTAAGAGCATGTATAGAAATATAGTAAAATATTTTAATATAGAATTGCATGGCAACTTATTTAAACGCCAGCTTAACGTTGATACCATATATAAAGAAATACGTCAAAACTTACATTCACTCTAATGATTATATACAGGGGATGTAGCAAATACTAAAAGTATACAGAAAAACATTGTACTCTTTCTACTATAGAAATGCATTGCAAATTCTTTTACAATAGAAATATACTTATTGTGTTTACATTAAATGCAGCCTTTCCATAATTATTCACTAACCGCAAGGGAATGTTTGTAGCACTTTCTCCTTCCAAAAGCAGAAATTTTACATAAGTCCAGAGGACAGCAATTTTAAAAGAGGACTATGGGTAGGGTGAAAGAGTAAGGAAGGTAACTTGACAAATTTTCCAGGCACTTTGTGGGTTATAACTTAAAAAAGAAGGAATTCTGACTGATATTTTTAACGTTAAATTAGAACAGACATAACTTTTTGACTAACACTCTTATTTTAACACTAGCTATATATGCAACTATAACTAACGACTATAAGTGTTAGACAGGGATGTCTACCCTCTCCAACGCTCTTCAACCTGTTTTTGGAGAGAATGATGCAGGTGATGTAGGATTAGGTAGTAGTAACACCATATGGAAATATACACTTTCCTTTTCACTAAGAGAGTGACAAAGGAAACTCTCTCTCTCTCTCTTTCTCTCTCTCTCCTCTTATACACATACTTCCTCTTCTTTCCTTCTATTGTTCCTATTCTCGGTAACTGACAGATCCTGGACATAGCTCATGTAGGTCAGCAAACGTCATAAAAAATCAACCAATGACAACACATCCCGCCGAAAATCAAACGAAAAACAAAATGTGTCAGACTAAATAAAAAGAAGAAAAAACTACGTGCGCAATGAGAAGAAGGGGAAATTGGTTCGATGTTGCAGTTCGGGTTTGATCGGACGTACAACTCTAAAAGAAAAAGAAACAAATGGATTTCTGTCAACCAAAAACACAACGACCCCGTATGAACTCTTAAATCATAAAAATGGTACTATAGACAGTACACATGGCCTTTGCTTATGTATTAGCCCAACCTTCATCCATAGAGGAAACCCTCTATGACCACAACACTTCTATCTCTATTGGTGGTAGACCCGTCTTCAACCTGCGTTTCGCAGACGATATTGACAGTCAAGTAGTAACAGTGAGCTGCAAATCTTGACGAACAAACTCGTTGAAAGAACAGCTGCGTATGAAATGGAACCCAACATAGAAAAATCCAAAGTAATGGTGAATAGCACAAGCAACTCGTGTCAGCGTCGCCATCGAAGGCGAACACCTGGGGGAAGTGTCCAGCTTCAAATACTTGGTAGCAGCAACCTTATTAAAAGATGTCAGCTGCGATATCAGAAATCCTCACACGGATCGCCACAGTCATAGCAGCGTTGGCCAGACAGGAAAGGATATGGAAGAACAACATCACCTTCCATACCAAATTCAAGCTCTACAAATCGCTGGTCATATCCATCCACAGATCATCTTGGAGGAAGTTGTCTGTTTCGTCTGCCCTTAGGTCCCCTCGACGATTGAAGCAGTCAAGAGACTGATGGTGATGATAATGATGATGAGTAATCATTGATACCATATATAGGATGTATTAAACAAATATGTTAAAACTTTATTTCACTTTATAGATTACAATTATATTGGCACAACAAGGCGCTTCAGACATTTGAAGGAATACGAATAAGTATGATAATTAAACACGGAAATATGAAAATCATCCTGGATATGACGATAAACTACATCCGGTAGAAAGGCCTCGTATTGGATAGGTTTTGAGGAGCGTGGAACCACAATTGCTGTTGTTCCCAGGTCTACCCTGACTCAGGGAGGTAGTACATGGTATAGTCCCAGCTATGGGCAAATAGTTAACCCCCAGACTGGGGTCAAAAACTATGAAAGCATAAATATGTTTATAGTCAAAATACCAGCAATACATTTTCATCGTAAAAGAATTACCATAAATATATTTTTTTAAAAAATAATAAAAAAAACTACCAGCGATGAATTTAAAAAAAAATCACCAGCAATAAATTTTCGTAAAAGAAATTATTAATACTCCCAAGAAAATTAAATTTCGGCATTAAATGAACCAGAAGGAGTTGGTATGCCGCTAAACAAACAAATATACAATATGAAAAACTTATTAATAAATATTTTGCATGAAGTTTTGTACGTCAGTTTATTTGGATTTGTCATTGAATATTTCTGTTGCGTTTTAAAGGTTTGGTGTTTACAATTCGGACTTTAACGATTCTTTTGGCGAAAAGCAATACACAAGAAGACTTAATGAATAAATTCTGACTCGTGTCACGATGAGGACTACCATGTCTTTCCATAACTTCATGTTTTTTGTTATTCTACGTAATTTTTAATTCCTTCCTCTTTTTTCGTGTTCTGCTATCCACTTACATAAACTATTTCGGTAAAAAGCTCCCCAGCTTTTCTTGCCTTCAGTATGTCATGTGAGTATTAAACTTTCCAAACCCTTTTTCTTCATTATGTGTCCTTGAGATTTAAACTATCTCTTTCTTATTGCAAGTGTATGTTTCCTTGTTCATTATTCACAAGTTCTGTTCATAATATTCTTAGCATTCCCCGGTAGATAAATATCTATTGTGTGGGATATGAAACATAGACCTCATTTAAAGTGAATGAAATATACGATAACATTCAAATAAAACGCAAAAGTCTTCGTACAAAAAAGCATGAATATATATATATATATAGGTGTGTGAGCTCTCAGACAAACTTGATGATGCACCTGATTCTGTAAACATTACCAATGATATCGAATCATCTTGGAAGGCTCTGCGTAATGCAACATATTCTACATCCTTGGAGGTTCTCGACCTGCCACATCGTAAACAACAAGACTGGTTTGATGACAATAATACAGAAGTTCAGCAGCTTAGAGATCAATTGCACTCTTCTCATAAAGCATGGATTGAGGACAAGAACTCGTCTGATAAGAAGATCGCTTACAAGAAGTGCAAAAGTCAGTTTCAACGAGCTCTCAGAGCCATGAAAAAGCGTTGGTGGTCTGAAAAGGCCACTGAACTCCA